GGATTCCCACGTGGTTCAAGTCCTGGACCTGGAGGCTTGATTTCTCACTTTCCCTTTCTCTCTCTCTAGTCAAATTGAAAAGATAATAACAACAACAATAAGTGGAAATTAATAATTAAAAATTAAATTAAATTAAAAAAATTAAATTAGAAATTCTTTAAAAATATATGAAATATCATTATCATTATGTGTTTAGGCTAACTAAGCAGCACAGTAGCATAACCAGAATACTTACAAACAACAGCAACAAATAATGGCAGACTTTTAGTCTCCTGTTACAAAGATGTGTTTTGACTAAAAGTTTATTGTATATTGCATTTCACTTTTTTTTTTTCCCCAGGTAAGAAGAAATATCAGAGAGGACTATGAAAGTCCTTTTTCCCTTGGGGATACTAAATAAGATGTGAGTTGTTTTGACTGGATCCTTTACACAAGGTCAGGTGTGTAATTTTCCACTTGTGACATCATGTCAGTGCTCCAAAAGTTTCAGATTTTGGACTTTGATTTTTTTAAAGAATTATTTACTTAATTTTATTTATTCATTCATTTATCTTAATTTGACCAGAGAAAGACAGACACACAGAGAGAAGGAAAGTGTGAAAGCAAGCCACCAGGTCCAGGACTTGAACTGTGGTCAGCCATGTGGGAATGTCCAGCACTTTAACCATCACACCACCTGCTAGCCCCAGATTTTGGATTTTTGAATTAGGTATGTTCAACCTGTTTAACTATTACAAATGTTTGATTATGTTTCATCTAAAAGCATACCATTTATAACCAATGGTACACACACACTGCATTTTGGAAAAATGAGTTAATTGCTCATTAAAGGCTCTTGCAGTTTCTAATTTTTAACATTTTGAGTAAGTGTTAAAATGGCTTTTTAAAAAATTATTATTTATTTAATTTTATTTATTCATTCATTTATTTTAATTTGACCAGAGAGAGACAACAGAGAGAGAGAGAGGGAAAGGAAGAAAGGAAGCCGCCAGGTCTGGGACTCGAACCTTGGTCGGCCATGTGGGAATATCTAGCACCTTAACCACCATGCCACCTGCTGGTCCCCTAAAATGGCATTTTTGAAAAGTTAAATATTTAAAATATTTTAGCAGTTTAAACACAAACTAAAAACAGCTAAGTTTAAAAATTGTGTTTTAGTAATAAAGGCTGTCTACAAAATTTAAATATCTTTATCTGAGGCTGGCATGAGGTCTTAGCCTGGATTCAAAAAGAATAAATAACTTGCATTCTTCAGTGCAACTGGTATCCATACGGCCAGGTTGTTAGTTCTTAAGAGGATGAAGCTATGGTTCACTTATGTCTGTATCACCAGTATCACATATAGAGCCTGGTACAGCCTTCTAATAAAGATACACCACATAATTCAACTCGACCGTAATTGCTTTACTTTCTGATCTTGCAAAAGTTTCACTCACATATTACTGGTCTAGAATTTTATAGAGTCATAATTTAGATAATTAGGAAAGGCATTTAAAATTCTTATACTGGCTTTATTTTCTTCCTTAACAATTCTGAAACCTAAAATAAATGATTTCAATTATATTCTTACCAGCACTCTTAATTTCTTCATTTCCCCCCGACTTTGGTTGTCTTTCTCCAATTCTAGACCAACCCAATTATTCACTATCTTCTGTCCTCCACTCAAGCTGCCAAATGTTATTAGACTGAGGGCAGTCTCAGGCTCTGTAGTTGACTCCATACGAAATTAAGGTGTACAATATGTCTGGTTGCTGGATCAGTTGGTTCAAACTCTGCTTAAAACCTGCAAATGGTTTCCAACTGCTCTTCCTATAGAATTCCAAATCTTCGAAATAACTTCCAAAACCCTAAATGCCTTTCTTTGGCCTCTACCTACTGTTCTCATTTCAAAGTACACTATTTTCCTTATTAACTGTGTTTGAGCTACACTGTTCTTTTGGTTCCTAAATATACCCTCAAGGCCATATCTTTGCAAATGATGGTAGTCTTTGGCATACCACTATTCCATTCCTTGGTCAAGTTAATACTGCTCCTTGACATCAACCACTCTCTATTCTCTCTCTAGTCTAAGTCTGGTTACTTAGACAAATAACTCAGTGAATAGTATTCTTTCTTTTTAATTTCCTTTCTCTGTCTCTTCGACATTTAACCCCATAAAAGTGGGTAAAATATCTTGTTTTCTATCATACTTCTAGTACCCAGCACAATGCTAGACACTTGGTAGTTAATAAATATTTGTTAAATGAATGCCTGAGTGGCCCCTTTGACACTTCTCACAATGCTATCCCCCAAACTGACGAATCGTCTCATTTTTCCACCTTCTATTCTTTCTAATAGAGGTTGGCTCCAACCAAGAACAAATCTGCTCACTGTTGTAACTAGTTCCACTGATGGGCAAAAGCATCAAAGTGGTCATCCTAAGAAAGTATTACTCTAATGCACCGTACTTCATTTTTTCTGTAACTATTGAATGGGCACTTTCTAAGTGCTGGGAACCTAGCAGTAAACAGGGTTGGATAAGGCCTATGGTCTCAAAAAGCCTACATTCTAGTGATGAAGTTAAGTTCAATATTAAAGAGAACTTAAAATTTAACAAAACAATGAAGAGGAAGAGAGTCATCTTATGTTAATAGGAAGCAGCAGAGAAGGAACAGGAACTACCATTTAAAGGTTCATAGTCATAGACAAAACCTCTTACCCGGTAATATTCCAAGATCTTGCTTGTCCTCCTATCTCATTGAAAAATAAATCCTAAGTAAGCATGGTTTTATCTAGGTTTCCATTCCACAACCCTACTCATTACACAAATGGTCTACTGTAAGAAAACTTGATGTCAAATGGAAAAACCTACCTTACAAAACACAATTGGAAACTTTTATTAAAATTTTAAAAATTCTATGATGTACATGACTCTCAATGAAGAGTCATCAACATTTCTTCTATGCTGTGTTTAAAATATTCATATTACATCCACAAAATATGACTTAAGTAACTCATAAAGAACCACAGGACTTGAGAGTTAAATCTTGTAAATTATTTTCATTTTATGTAGAAGATAAAGACCAGATACTTTGGTCCTTGCATAAGGTCTTACTTCCATCCTAGACTAATGCATGGAGAAGGAACAGCTATACATTTTGCAGAGTCCAGTGCAAAATGGAAATACAGGGCCTCCTTATTAAAAAACTGTTAAAAATTTCTACATGGTGACAGCAGAGAATTAAACCAAGTACCAGTCAATCTAAACACTGGGTTCTGTGCTACTGCACAGGTTGGACATTATGAATCTAGCTTTGTATAGAGAGATGCATATGCATCCATCCTTCTAAAAAAATCTATTTTTTCACAAACCAAAATAAAATATAGATGGGTCCTCATTCACTAACACCTGTCACCAGGAACCTGTTGTAGAGGAAAGAAAACAACCTGGACTCAGAAATATTCCAGTCATTCACTAGTTTAGATGCTGACAAGTCTCTTAATATTCAAAAACAGAACATATCCTATTTCCATCTCACAAACTTATGACAATCAAATGAATCAAGCTCTTCACATCACATAGATGTTTGTATCATTACCATATACAGCCCGGGAAGTCAATGTAAAACCATTGGTAGAGATAGGGCTGCTCAGGAGAAACTGGGTCCCATACAACAACCAAGGTCTGAAATTCCCAACAGTTCTACCTGATACAGTGCAGCTACAAATGAGTGCCCGGGGTCCTACTAAGTGGAGGACTGCAGTAAGGAACTCATAGTATGACCATGCCCCCATGGAGGGCATTTCTTGGCTCTCTCTTGTATACATTCACAAGCCCATTTATGATTATAAATAAAAGGAAAACAAATTTTGGAAACACTGAAAATCTAGGTTTTGTAAAGGGAGTGGCGTTTGCAATAATTTCAGGTGATATTGTGATCCTCACCTTCAAGTTTAACCAATGTTTACTTCCCATCAACGGTTTGTTAGCAAAAGAAAAGTTATGTTGATTCTGTGATCTTCACTAGAATATCAATAACAGTATTGTCCAACAGATACAGTATCAATCATGTGATTTTAAATTTTCTAGTAGTCACATTTAAAAAGTAAAAACAAATGGAATTAAATTTTAAAAATTTTATTTAATCCAATATATCAAATAGTATTTTGATACTACTTTCAACATGTAATCAATGTAAAAGTGAAAAAACTATTAGTGAGAACTTTCACATCCTTTTTTCCTTTTGGTCTAATAACCTTGCCTGCTGGTGAGGAAGTCTAATCTTAAAGACAATTTTAAAACTGAAGAATGAAAAGGGAGGCACTTCATATTAATAGAAAGCAGCAAAAAGAAAGACACTGCCAGTTAAGGGTTCATAGTCACTATCACAAAGGAAGCCTCTTAATTAGAGAGATTCTGAGATCTGGCCCATCCTATCTCACTGAAAGATAAATCTTTTTTTTTTTTTTTTTTGCTATAGGGCGCGTGCATTCGCCAGAAAGACAGAGATAGAAAGGGAGAAATCACCCCTCAGGGAGGATGGCCACACCGCAATCCCTTCTCCTCCATTCTCCTCTCGGTATCTTGGATAGGCATGCACACGTGCCCCGGCATGAGTTTAAGCCACTAGGTTCGGCCTGCAACTGCAGTGGACTACAGGGAGTCCAGCGACATAGCCATTACACTAACTGCTGGTCCTGATAAATCTTAAATAAGCATTTAAATAGGTCCTCTTAAGAAACATTTCATGTTTTGAAAATCTTAGGTGTATTTTACATTTAAAGCACATCTCAACTCTATGTGAGTACTGGACGCTGAAGTCTGACACAGGACAATAATAACACCAGCATACAGAGTATCCAATCACATGCTTTTTTCTGTTGTTGTCTTTTACTTTTCTTACTACATCTTATTACAAAGATAGCATTTTCAAGTATTTCCCACCTTCACCATCTTCAGGGAGATGCACTGCACAAATGTAAAATGTCCTTCAAATCTAGTTTTTCAAAAGGCCTGCAAAAACAATTATTCGCTAAGTAATTTAGCAAAATCCACGAGCTTATGTGTGATGTTTTCTTCAGTATCTTAAGGAATTTTCATTACTCGTATTTCAACAGAACAGAGCTCACCGGGAGGTGATAGGCCCTTTAAGAAGCGTTTAATAGGGTACAACTGGAACAGGGCATGTTGCTATTCCGGGTAAACCAGGAATGTGAGGGTGACTCCCACGCTCCAGACACCTGGCTAAGCTCTCGTCCAACGTTGGGACGCCAGGCTCCGCACAGTGCGCCGTGGCAGAGGCTGCAACGCGGCCCCGGCGCCAGGTAGGAGGTCACTGAGCGCCCTCCCGCTGCCCGCAGCCCCCGGGTTCCCGCCAAGGCCCGGTCCGCCGCCAGCAGCGGTCCCCACCTGGCAACACCGAACGCACCTCGCGTCAAGGTTCCGAGGTTTTCGGGCCCGCCCCCGCCACGGCCTTTCAACGCGGCTATCCTGGGCCCCTAGCTGGGACCCGCCTGGGCCGCACTCACTGACCTGAGGTGGCACCGCGGCCGCTTCACAGCCGCTTCCGGCTCGGAGACACGCCCCCCCCCCGCGGCAGCCCGACGCAGGCAACATGGCGGCGCCGCGCAA